TTGGATAGGTTTCAGAACACTATTAAATACTTTGAAAGTTTCTTCGTAATGCAATTACTTCTAAAATGTTATGCTACTTAGGGATCCAATTACTGGGATCTTTACTCACTGCACAACGACAGAATTTGTTGAAAATCTGAGCTCTGCTTATGAAGTGTGCTCACATGCTTTCCAAATCCTCAGTATAACAACAATTATATTTGTACATGTTCCTTTATAGCAGTCAACAAGGACAACTCTATGGTGCATTTGGAAAATAATTAAACATTTTAATAGGTATACTGTATTTTGCAACATAACCACTTTTTGACAAAATGATTCTGAATAAGCCTCATAAAATGTGCCATTTAGTGTCTCAATCTGGAAAGTTTTGTGCATCCACCACGTTTGTAATACATTATATTATATGAACAGATTAAAAACACTGTGGTGTTGCTTCTTAGTTAACATAGGCGAGTAACTGGTATGATACGGATAAACAAATGGCACTTGTCAACAAACTAAATATAGAGAGAGATGTGAAGGTCACATTTATTTTCCTGTTTAAATATCCATGACCACGGCAGTGTGAAAAGTGTCTGGCTGGTGAGAAAGTCTGGAGCTAAAAATAAAATCAAATAAAACCTTTCAAAAATATCTGAATGCCCCTAAGCAAATATTTCATCATACGTCTAAAGCGATGTACATTGTTTCTTCCACTTGCCTTCGTTCGAGTCGATATTAATTCTCTACTACGCCATAACCATATCGGATACTATGCATTAAAAACGCATTCCATGTGCTCGTATTATTCCTCAAGCTTGTTTGTTTCAACTAAGTGCATCCTCGTGCAGTTGTTTCCATCACGCTATGTGTTAAATCTACGTGTGCCCAGTGGGGGACATCATTAAAGTGAGTCACTTCTTGAAAGAGCACGCATTGCTTAGTCTTGCTGTATAATCACAAGATCCCTGAGATCTTTAACACATGATTGATATTTGTTTGCATTACACGGTTTATATAACACTAATTACCGTAGCCTTCCTCTGTTTAGATTATATATGTTTCCTCTACAAAATCTACTATAATTAGTGGCATGAAAATGCAAAAAAACGAATGACTGTTTTTCAAAAGTCGCTTTAATTTGTATTATGAGTAACACAACATCTGCAATATTTCATAAAAGCTGTAAAAAAGAATATCTTGGAAACAGAGTTTACAATGTTAAAGCTTAATGTTAAATTTCTATAATAAAAAAAATCCATTTATTTAAAATAACACCAAGAATAAAGAGCAGTTGAGAGTAGTTGAAAGCAATAGCAATGGTTTGAAGCTTTCGTGACTGCAGGAATCCATACTCTTTGGTTCTTTCGGTAAAGTCACATAGGTAAAAAAAATAATAAATCACAACGTTTCGATCGCAACAACAAGCGACCGTCTTTAGTGCGATTGGAACGTCGTGATCTATTATTTTTTCTACCTACGTGACTTTACCGAAAGAACCAAAGAGTATAGCAATGGTTTAATTGTAATTCTGTAGTAAGTAGGACCTAACTTGATTAGGTGCTTTCGTGACTGCAGGAATTACTCTTTGGTTTTTTCGGTAAAGTCACGTAGAAATAATAAAATTATATAATAGCATACGACGTTTCGATTGCAGCACAAGCAATCATCATCAGGTACAGAAGAGCTAAATTTAAGAGAGAGAGAGGAAACACATAACCGCAGATATATATACAGACCTTAAGTAGAGGGAATTAACACAGACACACCAGGGGACACAGAGAGGGAAGGAGCACACGAAATCAAACAGGGTTTAGCAAAATTTGGAAACTATATAAAGCAACACAGACGGTCGGTTAAAACACAATTAACGCATGGCTGGTAGATTACGCTATTTCAAAGATTGCTAAATTGTAAGTTAAGTGTGAAATTTAAGAGAGTGATGGAACACAGACCGTAAAGAGACATTTGGGGTAATCTACCAGCCATGCGTTAATTGTGTTTCAACCGACCGTCTGTGTTCCTTTATATAGTTTCCAAATTTTGCTAAACCCTGTTCGATTTAGTGTGCTCCTTCCCTCTCTGTGTCCCCTGGTGTGTCTGTGTTGATTCCCTCTACTTAAGGTCTGTATATATATCTGCGGTTGTGTTTCCTCTCTCTCTCTTAAATGTAACTCTTCTGTACCTGATGATGATTGCTTGTGTTGCAATCGAAACGTCGTATGCTATAATATAATTTTATTTTTATTATTTCTATGTGACTTTACCGAAAAAACCAAAGAGTAAGTAGGACCTAGTTACGTTTTTTTTAATCAGATGAGCATATGGAATATTGATCCTGCCATAGTGACCCATTAAGTGCAAACAGTGTCGCTACCTGAACACAAAAGTTACAAAACCAAAAACATGTAAAAACAACCCGACAAATAAGGTAAAAGGTGAACACTGTGACCACATATCTTGCTTCCTAGTGCGAAGGAACTAATGAGAGATTGTGCTTGTGGGTCATAGTACATGGTTATGAGAGGGTCATGCTTTACTGTTTACCAGAGACTAGTCTAAATACTTCACATCCTTTTGGATCAGCACCCATTTACAAGGTTTAACCTCTTCTGTTACAAATTCGGAATGTGGAAAGATACATGCTCAGGTGATATCGATGCTTTATTATTTGACATTTTCCAAAACAGTGAACTGCTATTACGTTGCAAACATGCCAATGAGTTACTTTTCAAAATCTACAATGGGCAACACATTTTGTTCAGGTCATTCAGGAAAATGCCCTTTTCAAGGCTAAAATACCACTGTGGCAAAACGTTCCTTTAGATCTTCTTCTTTTGTACGGCTGATGTAGATGCAGAGCAACAACTACAATTTCACATTCTGGTGGTCAAGCCAGATTGCTTTCGATAATGGATGCATGTAAATCAGTAATTTATGGAATTCCATATTGGTATATCATCCATCAAAACGAATTACAGTATAGTATGTATATGCTAGATATAGTATTTGATTTCATACATCAAATATATTCTGGTGATAAGAGTTTTTTCTAGTCTTGCACATCAGTTGTTGTTCATTTAGACTTAAGTCACCATTAACTAGCACTGAGCACATGCAGATTATCCTCAATGTGACAGCTTGACTGAGTGTTTCTGATATTAGCTTGCCAGGACGACATCTGCCTTTGGGAAAAGCAAGCTCTATAAATCTAGAAAGGAATGTAGGGGTTACAAAAGTCTTGGTTAATACCATTTTTAAAAATCTGATTGTTCACAGAGGCCCAGAGAACAAGAAATTACTTCCAGGAAAATATGTGTTTCATGCTTATTGAATTCATTGAATGTCTTTAACAAATATAACATTTCCATTTCAAGATGTCAAATGTATAATACATGTATCCATTAATGACCGCAATAACAATGCAATTAATCATAGTAATACATTGATGTTTAGATTTTCTTAAATTAACATTTTGGCTACAAACTTTATTTCGTTAAAAAGTTGAGATTGCCTTACATATTATTAAAAGTACGACCAGATTTTGCTGGGGTGCAACAATGTTATGACAATGCTAACAAAAATATCGAGTGATCAAATGCACACATATGACAGGCAACCTAAAACACTTTGAAAGGCATAAAGGATTTCATTAAAGTAAAGGTACCTCGGGTCAAAATGTTTCTGCATTTTTTGGGAGTGTGCATGCCCAGGTTAAGCCATGGATTAGGGATCACATTTACTGCAGAAAGCTTCAACAGCAATAGGGGTCATAGCCCAACGAGGAGAAAAAGTCTGCAGCGGGATGGCTACGATATGGGTCAGTGGCACTGTGAGGAAGATTGCACAGCTAGATCCCGGGGCCTCATGCTGCCTTTGATCGCCACGTTCCCATCTGACACCTGGCAGCTCACCCTTTTGAGTTTTTTTCAGATCAAGCAAATGCAAGACGGGTTAAAAAAAAAAATGAAGGCTCACGGAAAAAAAAACAGGTTTAAAACTAAATCTTCACCGATTTGTAGATTCTAAACAATACGCATAGGGATATGTAGCGTTCGAACACTGAAAATGGAAATGACAATTTCTGTATTTGGTTAAATAAAAGCTGCCTGAAATTGATGCTATTCAATAATTGAATGATTGTACAAATACAGCAATTTTGGATGAGGGCCTCCCCATGCCGTGTGGATCGTGAGAGTTACTTGACAGTAATTCAGGCAATAAGTGCAGGTTGGTGAAGGAAAAACATAGACGCTGTAGCATAGTGCACTAGGATTTAGCTGAAAACACAGCACCCCAGCAGACTACAGTAACTGTTTTAAAATTGTATTGACCTATTCCCAGCATTATTCAAGCTCAAGACTTCTTAGCTTCTAAAATTCGACCAGACCGGGTGCATTTTGTGTGCTTCCGTCAGATGAAATGTATGATTTTAAACCATTAAAAGAGCAGTAATGCACCAAAATGTTACGTAACTTCAACAATTCACATAAATGTGCTGTATTCCTGCCTGATATGCAGCCTCAGCTGCACAAACATTCAAAAGAGTTTGTGTTTTTTTTCACCTCGAGTCAACATTTAACATGTTATGCTCAACTTAAAAGTCTGCTTCCTGTGTTTGACTAAAGTATTCGTGTGAACAAGATGTTAATCTTGGAATTAAATCAATGGACTTGATTATGACATATAATAAACGAACACTTCGTATGCCGGTAAAATAGTAACTCACGTATGTTAAGGCAGTGACATTTTTGAAGGAGTAACCTACACAATTTTTTTTTTAAAGTTGGGAATAGAAAAAAAATCTTAAAGCTGTCACTATTACACCTCTTCTTTGACCCCACGTTGAATATCTAAAATACATTTTTTTAAATTAATCACATTACTATATTCATTTAAAGGTTGTGTTTTTTTTCTAGCGTAAAAGAACCGCAGACATTTCTTTGTACAGCTTTAAATATTTTCAAATTCGGGCAAATATATTCAGCATTCCCATCCAAAGTGCACGTGTACAGTACCGACTCTGCTTCTGCCTTCTGTAGTCTCTCCAACTGTAGCTCAATTTCCTGCAGGCGCTGTTGGAGCTCACGTGTTTCCCTGAAGTCCTGGAGAGCCTTTTCTCCTGGGCCGTCCCCAACTGCGTCTCCATTCAACACATGCTCCTTTTGACCAAAGAGAGGATTGAGAAAACGAACTTGGCTTAAAAAAAGACCAAAGTTTAATTTACAAAGTGCAATATACTTTAACCAACCCCCCACCCACCCACCCCGCATTTTTTTGTGGGACTTATAGTGCAAAGTGCATTTAATACTGTATAAGGAATTTGTTAAATTGAAAATGTTGCAAATATTCTCTGTCCATGATTACAATCGGGGTTATTTGACCATATTTCACCACGCTGGTTAATGTGGGTTGCTAAAAGCAGGGAGCAAAATATGTGGGAGCATAGAAGTACATGTCCACAACACACTTTTCTGCACTGCTCTCTGCAGCTCACAATTGTGTGTAGCCTATAATGCCTGTTATGCATTGCAGTTGCCCATTCAACCACTATCCAGGCTAAACTCTACTTATCTTCCAACACGATATACAGTGCATTCTGGGTGATTTTGTATTAGGCACTATTATAATGCATGCATCAAACTGTGTATAAAAAATATAGTATCTAGGTCTATGGAAGTTCTACGCTAATTGGGCCAGAGGCTAATATAAATAAAGATAAAAATACAAGACTGACAATACAGATGAGACCACAAGTGAGTTATCAAATCACAACACAATTCATCGACTCGATGGTGGGAAAAATCTGTTGGGAGGAATCATTCGATACCTACATTTATGTACAATATATTATGCAAAAAGTATTATATCACCTAAATGTCATAAACTTCATAAAAATGTTATTGACATACTTTGCAAATTTTAAAAACGTGGAGAAAAAAACGCGGAAAAATATTGATGCTTTGTATTTAACAAACATACAATATGCGGAGCAATAAAACGAAAAATACTTCTAAATAACTCATTGGCATTGGTACCATACACAAGTTGGGATATGTTATCTGGGCAATTGCCAATATAATTGGAGTTTTTCGAAATGGCATAAGTGGACAGATGTTTCCGCACTTATTCATAGTGCACTGGAGTTGATTGAGCACAAACACACACCCTTTGGAAGACTGTTCCAAGCCTCAATGCCTGTAAAACCAAACATTAAGCTTGTTTTGTTTCGTCTAAATTGCTGCTGTTCAATACACATGTCCTAATAACCTTTCATTTCTGAAGCAGTTGTTATTGTGTACAGTTAAATCTGTATATGGCATATCTTGAGTGACCTAGTTGCAGAGATGGAAGGACTCATTAGAGTGGTTGGCATGGGAGATGGTGCAAGGCATTAAATGGGATTCCCTGTCCAATTTCCCCCCCTCTTCATAGCCTGGCACCTGAGCCCCTACAGCCTTGTGAGCAGCAGAGGAGTTGCACTTTCTGTCCATTTGATAACTATGCCCCAAGTCGAACTGTGACACAAAGAGGTTGGTTCGGTTGCCCTGTGGGTCAGTTATTTATAGATTCTGATGTTTTCACTTTGACAGCTGGTTTTGCAGCTGCTGCACAAAATACCAAACTTTGTCAGGTGATCAACAATGAGTACTGTAAGACAAGGGATAATAAATGGGTATATTTAAACGTTGACAAATAAAAGACGGTGTTGGGTCAACAATCAGTTTAAACAGATATGTTCTGCCTCATTGTCACTCAGGCTAATCCACTACAGTTGCTTTGACCTTTGTTTTAAGTTCATTGGCTTCAAAGCTGATGGTTTGAACAAAAAAAACCCATTCCACAAATCTAAAATGAATGATCAGATTGCAATATTTCCTAAAAGCACTATCTCCTGTTTTTTTTTGGCTTAACCAATGCTGAGACAATTGATGTGTAAGAGAAGGTTAAATATGAAAAGATATATCTTTATTGTAAAGTGTAAATATTTAAACTATAACACTGAGCTCATACAAGTGCTGAGAACTACAACAAAGTTAATTTTATAATTGGTACAACAAAATGAAAAGTTTTAGTTGAATGTGAAAATGTATAGAAAGTTATAAAATGTGAAATCGTGAAAATAAAAGTGAACATTATTGTATATAACGAGTTCAAACTGTAATCCTGATATTATTGTTTGGGAAGGAATGCAATATAATTGTGTATAGATCTACTGTAGATTGGATTGCACTTCACTCAATCTCACGAAATATCTACAGGTGCAACATTTTGATAAAAAAGTAAAGTATGCAGGATGACAAGTTTGAGAATCTACCCATTCAATGCATGCAGGCATCAGGTGGTCATTCTCACATGGAAAATGTTGGAGTCCTCCAATGGTGCATTATAAATAAATTGTGGCATTCTATGCTACCAGTAAATGCAAATTACAGCTACAGTATACAACTTTAGAAACTGGCAATGATATGTCAGATTCCACTTCTGATTTAGTACTTTTAGAAAGTGCTTTGTAGTGTCTTGACTTAAAGCTTTCGTGCCTGCAGGAATAAAATAATAATAAATATTATTTTTATTCACTTTATTTTGATTTGGACTATTTTATTGTTCTATCTACGTGACTTTACCGAAAGACCCAAAGAATATGCTTTGTAGTGCATATCAAATGGCTACCCTCTTACGGAGATAAGTAATTTCAGTTGACTGCAATGAGCAAAAGTCAAGTCAAAGTGATGTCCTGCTCAAACAAGCAAAGAGTATGTGCTCATATTCTGTTTGCAGCCTTGAGCCTGAGGTGGAAATTCCACATTCCTGTGACAGGAGTGAGTTCAGCCATTGGACATGCACTGTTGACTTCATTACCAATTGGTACTCATTTTTATCAACCCTGGTAGAATGATGTGCTGAGTCATCCCCTAATAAGGATTTGAACTTGAAACCTTCAGATTGTAGCTACTCGCTCTACTGCTGAGCCACACACATTTAACATATTGGACATTTAAAACTTTACATCGAGTGTATGTTGACGATAGAGCTGAAGCAGCTGTAGGAGACATTACACAATGTGTGTGAATAAAAGACTGTATTTTAACCAAGCATTTACACCGGCTAAATGGAGCTCACAATGCATAAAGAAGGACTCTGTTCATGCATATTTTCCTTATTTATGCATTTATAACTTAAATATGTACACCTTGCATTGCTTATTTGAAAACTTTTGCTTTCACTGTTATGCCACAAGCCTGTAGCGGGTAGTTTGTGTACTTTTTCTGAGCTACCTGTTTCACACAATTTAGTAAACCATTCGTAGTATTGTCAGCTAAATTATTGTGGTAGTGTTTTTAAACAACTCATAACTGCAAGAGAATAGGCTGCATTCAACATAAAATTATGAAGAAGCAACAGATTACAATTTATATGTACAACTATTTCATCAAAGGAAATAAAAATATAGAAGCTTAATTTGAGTGCAGTTGGAAATATTGCACTCTTGCACAAAGAGTATAAAAGCTACGCAATTAATTTTCAAGCTGGCTAGCTATGGGCCAGCACGAAACAAGATTTCAAATCTAAAAAGGCAGAGCTTACACTCGACAGCATTGGCTCAGGGGTCACACCACGTTTAGCTGCTATTGAGATTTCCGTAGCAACAGACTGTGCTTATCCTTGGATGTTTGAAACATGAAAACAATGGGACTACACATCCTATTCAGCCATACACAACGGGACAAACAGAATGGTCTACGTTACAACAGGAAATTAGGCTACAAATGAGCCTGTAATGAATTTCATAGCGTTACTATTTTCTGATGTGCATAATGAATTTCAGTATATTTAAAAAGATGAGCTATTAACAGGCATGTAACATTCAAGGAATGTATTCCAATTCATTATTTTCTCATAATACACGCATCTTATTTTGCGTAATAATATATTATTATGGTTTATGCAAATTATATTTCTCTATTTAGGCAAATGGAAAGATTAGACATTAAGGTGCTGTCTTTCTGAGAGCTCTGTTCTTCACCTGAGGACGGCTGCTTGCGTTGTGACCGAAACGTCGTGAGAATTTGATCGTTTTATTATTATTTTATTATTTCCCTTCTACGTGACTTTACCGAAAGAACCAAGAATAAGAATCCCTGCAGTCACGAAAGCTTTAAATCTGAAAGATAGATATGAACTCAATGTGACAAAAAACAACTCTTTAATTGAATAATAACCCCAAATAATGATGATGACTTAAGTACAGTGAGGGAAAAAAGTATTTGATCCTCTGCTGATTTTGTACGTTTGCCCTCTGACAAAGAAATGATCAGTCTATCATTTAATGGTAGGTTTATTTGAACAGTGAGAGACAGAACAACAACAAAAATCCAGAGAAACGCATGTCAAAAATGTCAATGTACACATGTTGTTTGCAATTGTTTAATATAAACCCTGCATGAACTACAGGCACTATGTTTATCACAGTAGAAAAAAGGGGTCAATACTTAGATCAAATTGCAACCCTAAATTGTGACAATTTATCACATTGTGAGGGGTGAGAATCATTGCATGCCTCGCAAATATACAAGCATTGTCATGTGGGAGAGTGGATTTCTGTGTTGCTATGACTTGAAACACATTTGATACAAAGATTCCAATGTATTTTCAAAGAACCAAAATGTAAAATCTATGTTTGTCCAGGCCTTGCCAAGTTTAACTTATTTATCACACAACGGCAGCTTTGATGGGCCACACATTTTGCACGGAACATAAGTTTTCCTTAAAAACCGAAATAAACTGTTTTGCCATAACAGGATCACACAATTACCGCGTAACATCTGAGCACCATATGTGTATCACAGTCGCAAAATATTTGTATAATTACATCTGATCTGCAAGTTTATTATTTTCGGTGTGTCATATAGTGCTGTTAATGAGATTGGACCTTTTTTGTCAACACACTAAGTTATCATGCAACATATGACTTGTATGGAAATTATAGCTTCATCAGGAACTGGAGGTTCATTTATTGGGCATAATTGTACATCTTAAAGTGAATTCTACTTTAGTGAATCATACATTTGAAACCAATAAATTTAACAGTGATATACATGGTAATGTATTTCACAATTATGCTCAAATTACATAGAACGCCTTGCAGTGTGCTCCATTTATATAAAATATGCTATGTTCATATTCATGTTTTCATATTTATTTTAAAAAATCGTATATTTATATTTTAAGCTATGCTTGATATACAGTGAGGGAAAAAAGTATTTGATCCCCTGCTGATTTTATACGTTTGCCCACTGACAAAGAAATGATCAGTCTATAACTTTAATGGTAGGTTTATCTGAAAACATTGAGAGACAGAATAACAACAAAAAATCCAGAAAAACGCATGTCAAAAATGTTATAAATTGATTTGCATTTTAATGAGGGAAATAAGTATTTGACCCCCTCTCAATCAGAAAGATTTCTGGCTCCCAGGTGTCTTTTATACAGGTAACGAGCTGAGATTAGGAGCACACTCTTAAAAGGAGTGCTCCTAATCTCAGCTTGTTACCTGTATAAAAGGCACCTGTCCACAGAAGCAATCAATCAATCAGATTCCAAACTCTCCACCATGGCCAAGACCAAAGAGCTCTCTAAGGATGTCAGGGACGAGATTGTAGACCTACACAAGGCTGGAATGGGCTACAAGGCCATTGCCAAGCAGCTTGGTGAGAAGGTTACAGCAGTTGGTGCGATTATTCGCAAATGTAAGAAACACAAAAGAACTGTCAATCTCCCTCGGCCCGGGGCTCCATTCAAGATCTCACCTCGTGGAGTTGCAATGATCATGAGAACAGTGAGGAATCAGCCCAGAACTACACGGGAGGATCTTGTCAATGATCTCAAGGCAACTGGGACCACATTCACCAAGAAAACAATTGGTAACACACTACGCCGTAAAGCAGCGCCCGCAAGGTCCCCCTGCTCAAGAAAGCACATATACATGCCCGTCTGAAGTTTGCCAATGAACATCTGAATGATTCAGAGGACAACTGTGTGAAAGTGTTGTGGTCAGATGAGACCAAAATGGAGCTGTTTGGCATCAACTCAACTCGCTGTGTTTGGAGGAGGAATGCTGCCTATGACCCAAAGAACACCATCCCCACCGTCAAACATGGAGGTGGAAACATTATGCTTTGGGGGTGTTTTTCTGCTAAGGGGACAGGACAACTTCACCGCATAAAAGGGACGATGGACGGGGCCATGTACCGTCAAATCTTTGGTGAGAACCTCCTTCCCTCAGCCAGGACATTGAAAATGGGTCGTGGATGGGTATTCCAGCATGACAATGACCCAAAACACACGGCCAAGGCAACATAGGAGTGGCTCAAGAAGAAGCGTGGCCTAGCCAGTCTCCAGACCTTAATCCCCTTAGATAATCTGTGGAGGTAGCTGACGGTTCGATTTGCCAAACGTCAGTCTCGAAACCTTAATGACTTGGAGAAGATCTGCAAAGAGGAGTGGGACAAAATCCCTCCCGAGATGTGTGCAAACCTGGTGGTCAACTACAAGAAACGTTTGACCTCTGTGATTGCCAACAAGGGTTTTTCCACCAAGTACTAAGTCATGTTTTGCAGAGGGGTCAAATACTTATTTCCCTCATTAAAATGCAAATCTATTTATAACATTTTTGACATGCGTTTTTCTGGATTTTTTGGTTATTATTCTGTCTCTTACTGTTCAAATAAACCTACCATTAAAATTATAGACTGATCATTTCTTTGTCAGTGGGCAAACGTACATAATCAGCAGGAGATCAAATACTTTGCACCAAACTACTCCATATTTTTTTTATATAAAGGCTTTAAAAACTCTATACATTCCAAGACCTCGTAATAAAAAACAAGCTAAAGTATTTGTCACAACCAGTAATTCAACATATTACTAAATATTCAATTCGTGACTGCAGGAATCCATACTCTTTGGTTCTTTCGGTAAAGTGACGGAGTTAGAAATAAAATAAAACAAATCACGATGTTTCAATCGCAACACAAGCGGCCTGATGATGACTGCTTGTGTTGCAATCGAAACGTCGTGATTTTTTTAAATTCCATTCGTATTAAACATTTAACATTATATCTACTTTATCTCATTGGACAAATGCGTCATGCAGTCCCACCAGTGCTGCAGACCTTCATAGTATATGGGATATCACAAAGGTCCCTAAAGCATTACCCACGTTGCCGCATGACCTCAGACCAGAATGCTGTTTTACGATATTGGTGCACAAAACGGATATTATCTCAATAAGTAATATCCAGAGCAGTGCAGTCAGGTCTATGCCAAATGCAAGGAATACTAAATTGATAAATATAAATGCTACAAAGAGAAACATGTTCCTAAAAATCCATGTAATACACATTTAACATTCATGTCTGTCAAATGAGAAACTCAGAGTTGCCAATGAAAAATATTGAGAGTAAGAGTCCTTGGCCATAGATTAACAGTTTATTCTTGGTGACGAATATTGTGATTACATTTTAGAAAACTAAATGAGAGTGACTTGGCTGAAATATAGAGATACAGAGACTACCTGCTACTTTGCTAGGGATTTATATAAAAGTCTAACCACAGCCAACCAGACGAAAGCAGGCTAAAGAGACAACTCAACATAAATTTGGCCCATTATATAAGATGACACAAAATTATATAAACCTGAAAAATGTATTGTATTTATATTTTTATTTTCAAATTCCAACCAATCTACAAGACTGTTTATAACTCCCATTGTGGACATGTCTAGATCATTTCACACTGCATTACAGTGGATGCAGGCAACATTCAGCGGCATAGTTCTAAGCCCAACCTGTTTTTAAAAACCAAACATCAAAATTGTTCTTTAGTTTTTTGTGACCAGTTCATGACTGGTCCCCCATGGGTGGTTACTCCTCTTTGATACCTGCTGAAAGGAGTGGCAGCCGAGGCGAGGTGTGCTTCTGATGAGGGCGAACTGCTCTGCAGGAAGGATGGAATGCAATCGGCTGTCTATCTCCTCCAGCTGGTGCTGCTCATTCACCTCGGGCACGTAGCCCTCGCCAGCCATCACTACCGCACACTCCACTGCTTGCTGTGTGTAGTTCATATGTAAAACAAAAAAAAACACAATTTGTTTATAGAGCAATGATTGTAACCCTATGCTACGAACCCAGTCACATGAGTTGTATTCCCGACCATAGATAACATCTTTGATGAGTAATATCTGAATTGTCCCTGGGCACCTGCACTCATTAATATGCACTGACCAGCATGGTGAAGTATGCACAAACAATCACCATGACCGACATGGTGTGAGAAGTGCTTCATTCAATAGCGATATACAAAGTGCTGTGATTTGCATTCAACATGTTTTTTGGAAGTCATGTTTTAGTCCTTTTTTCAACGTTTTAGAAGAATATCATACCAAGTAAGACTTTTAATGATTTAAAACATTAAAATAAACCAACATCAAAATAAACCAAGTTTGAACAATATATCAAATACACTGTTAGTCTTAAATGTGGACACATTACACCATTCCAGTTTCAAATGACATTACACAATGCCAAAAAAATGATGTGAGTAATTTGGATAGTCAAATCTTCTATACATATATTATGCAGGACATTTTTATAGACAGAGGGTAATGTCTCAATTGGATATGTTATCTGCAGTAAGATACTATTTCAACTGTTTACCACCACCAATAACGCAGGTTGTCAATGGTTTAACGTATCATAAAAAAGAAAGTATTGCTCGACTGTGCGTATCAAAAATGTACTGATATGCGAGTGAAATAAATGTTTTTACTGAATTGCACTAAATTGTAACATCCAAAGGCACAGTTTAACACGTAGGCTTTCGCGACCAGTAGTATTCATAATATGAATCCAAAGGCATGTAGAATGAGTTAAAAATACAATGCCTCTGGTGCCACCTAGTGTGTACATGTGGCAGTAACATTTAACACATTCACCAAATACTACAGCTATGCATAAAGTGGTCAAGATTGATTTCAGTGCAGCAATTGAAAAACGAATGTGGCATACTAACATGCCATTGTAATACACCGTATCTAAATGGGTGAAATCTATTTCATCGCTATTTAGTCTTGACTTAAAGCTTTCGTGACTGCAAAGAACACTATTTAGTCGTTTGAAATTAATGTAATGTTAATTTAGCATATAGACAATTGTTTCCATATTACATGGTAAACTATTTTATCATCATTATATTCAACTATTCCTGTCCACTGCTGGATGAAGGACTCCCCACGTCATCGCTATCCTCACGGTCCTGTATTTTCATAAACCATCTCATGCCTGCACATGGAACTGATCTTGTCAGTCAATCTTTGCGGTGGTTGCGCACTTGGGCACATTCTAACCTTTGGCTACCATTTCTTGACCAGTCTCATCCATCGCCCATCTTCGCTAGTGATGTATTCTACCAAAACCCAGGTCTCGGAAATTATGTCTTTGATTTTGGTTTGTTCCGTGATCTATGTGTTCTTATTTCCATCTCATTGTAATTCGTAGTGTGCATCTTTGCATCCTTCTTGACACACTTGTCAGCATATTTCCATTTTCATTGTCGGTATCCATGGTTTTGATCCACATCAAAGTAATGTTCACATTAAAAGCTGCCCTCTCGCATGTTGGTGTGTTGTTTTCAATATCAAATTGAGTTTATTAATTTCATCATTATTATATCAAACTGCATTTAATAACTTCCCCAGGTAATAATATTCAACTGAGTTTTCCAATTGTGTCTCTCCTGTAATTATTTTATGTTGTTTAATTTTTTAATATTGTTTTTAAATTGGCATATGGTTTGTAAAAATGTAATTAGGTCAATGAAACATCTTACCTTGTCCTCAGAATCAGCATGTAAATCTTCTGACTCATCAATGTCCTGTAGGAGGTGCAAAAGCCTGCTCTTTTCATCTTCCGTTATTTGAATTGGGTTTCCCACTTCTCGCACCATCTGAAAAATTGGGGTAATTTTGCAAATTATACAATTAATTACGTTTAAAAGTACGTTCATGACCTCTTGAACAAGAGAATGTATTTTACACTAAATAAATGTAACGACATTGGTCTCTGACAAGATTACCTCTATGTTTTTTCGAATGAAATTGCGTTCACTTTCTTGAAGATTTGTCTTTGATTTACATTCTTTGTAGATGCCACGCATTGATGCGCCATCTGCACTGTGGCGTTGGGTTGTGTTGGATTGGCTTTTCGATAAGCCTGTTGAAGAATATGGTAAACAGTTCAATGCAGCTGAAATCAATAATTAAATAATTTATGTTTAATTATCTCTCAATACCGTGCTGATGCATATATTAGTGCGGCTTACTTGACCCACACTGCCGTGTAGGTGTTTCATTATTTTCTTCAAAAGGAACTTGGGTGTGAAAAAGTGGCGTAACTGGAGCCCCATCAAAGCTGTCATCTGCAAACATAGAAAATGTAGACTTAAAGCTTTCGCGACTGCAGGAATTCATATTATTTGGGTCTTTCGGTAAAGTCACGTAGATAGGTAAAAAAAACAAATATGGAAAATGTTAATACATAATACATTACTGCACTGCATGTAAATCATTATAGTACCATATAAGATGTAAATAATTAAGGTTATAACTTGCAAGGTAGCTCAGAGTTCAGAGCACTAAGCTGACACTACTTAATATTGGATTTGAATACCAGGTTATCAAGTAAAGTGGGTTGAGAGAATGTGCACGATCACCAATGATTGCACCAAAAACTATCATAAAATTTTGGTTCTGAAATTAATTTGGCTGAGAATTAATGACATTAATCTCACTAGTAGAGTTGATGGGAATGTGCTGGTCGCAACTTTGTGAAACAGGCCACTTAAAGGGATTTCAGTGGTAGCTTAGTAATATCTACTTTCTATCATGAAGAGTTGCAATGCTTTGAGAGATATCCAAGTTAATTGTCTCATGACAAGACACCAATTGCACAATCCAGAAAAAATTGGGTGCACATATGTTTTAAAATAGCAAACACGTCAATTAGGGTTACTATTTATAATCAAACCATTTACACTATGTGATGTGTATATTTACTTCCAATAATAAAAATAAAGTAACCTCTAACAAATCAAATGTGATGGTCAGAATGCATATTTATTCTTCCTTTTTAACATATAGTCCCGACTTGGTTTGTTGTCGTTCCCCCGCACCTCCAATTAGCACAGCTGGCTACGTACAGTGCGTAAGTTCAACCAACATATTCTGGGGTCTTTCGGTAAAGTCACGTAGATAGGTTCAAAGAAAATAACAAAAATAACCTATTTACGTGACTTTACCGAAAGACCCGACAATATGAATTCCTGCGGTCACGAAAGCTTTAAGTCAAGATTCAACATACATTCATTGGTAATTGAAATCGCATATAATACTATAAATATTGAAAATACATTGATAGAAGTAAATACTTAAAGACCTACCATCCCATGCACAGCTTGTAGGTGGGATCAAGGCTAAATACTTATTTGTATTTTCTTCTTCTTCAACACTTACATTCTCCCCATTCTGTTCCACATTCAAATAAGGCACAACAAGTGAGTCACATAGCATCCACGTAATACAACTCGTTAATAATGAAATCACCTTGGACCTGTTGCTCCTGGGTATGTTGGTAAGCACTGAACACAATTTGACAAAAAAATATAAAACAAATAAGGTTTAAACATAACACAATTGACTTTGTTTATACAACCCCAGTGAGAGCAATTCCTTAAAAATACAGCTCATTAACACACTATTTACCTGAAATTGGCTTTTACTGATCCTTTTTGAGAGAAACATGATCAGCTGTTCATGGCCAGAAAAGGTTAATTAAGGATATCCGTAGAGATAATTTACCTTAATGTCAAACATAATAGGGACGATTGAAGGATTGATAATTATCAATCGAAAGTTCTATTATAATTGAACTTTCGCAAATGTACTCCAAAAATGATTTGTGCATGAGGCAAAATTACCTGCAGTTCTTTCCACAATTTTTGTAAAAGCTCTCTACCTTCTCTCTTCACTTCATTTTCTCTCTCCTGCTTCCGTAATAAAATCTTGTCCAATTTCTTCATCTTCTCCAGAGCTTTCTGAACCCTATTGTCAACTGTATGATCTGCAGCTTTAAAAAAATAATTATATGTGTGCTTCACATCCTTTGGGATAATCGTGCAGTAAGATTATACGATGACATATGTGGTTGAATTATGTGTAATTAAACTATAAATTACTATTGTAACTGTAATTATATATTTATACATACCTTCTTGAGTCTCTTGACTGGTATTTTTCCCAGCAAATGCAATAGTATTGAGCTCTTCTTGCTCCTCTTCCGACTCAGTAGAGCTACCAAATCTGGTTTCCAAAATGCATGGGCTAATTCTTAACATTTTATCAGCATTTGCAGTTGGATCAAGGTTGTATTTTTGAACAACAATGTCCTCATTTAAACATGTATCAGAGTCAGTAGATATATCACTAATATCTTCTATTGAAATAGTACGATCCTGAAAAATAACATGTGAAAACATATGAACAACTTTTACATCTAGGACACGATGTCCCTTAGATGCACAGCAGTTAGGAAATATGAGGTGTTGCCTTATTTCCTTTTATAATCCAGCGAAAATATGCACTTTTTTACACACACAATCCTTTTACACTTAGCCATAAGTGCAGGCTTTTGGTGCTATGAAAGCTGTATGACTCTTGGCTCTCGTTATAATTTTTGAAACAGTTGGGGCCAATCCACAGCATATACAAGCACTGCAATGTGGTGAGTCTTAACCAACAAAGCATGTGAAAAGTAGATCCCAATTTCACTAAAAGGCCAATGATCAAAAATTTGTTCTTCTCTTTTACATTCGTTCATTAAATAATGCACAAATAATGTTCAGATGAGCTCTGTGAATATCTTAGTGATAAGGCCATTAAAAGCTGAAATCCATAAGGAATAAGGTAATGGATAGCTTTAATATAAAAGTAAACATGAGAGATCCGTCCCAAAGAGGACGCACGTGAAATGTCCTCCAATCTACAAATCATGATTCATATTATTTGCTCGAAAATAATCCATTAATTAAGACTCTATTCCAAATTCGAGATATAAATATGCACAACTACATCAAGACAACCTTTCAATAGCATCGTTTTCAGTTTACTCAAATTGTTGCCATAATTTGTAAACCCGTTGTGGTAGGTTTACTCCACATGGCTTGGGTCGGCTTACATATTTCCTCCCATGTCAATATGCCTATGCATGAAAGTGCAATATAAATCAATGCACTCGTATAATAAAGGTCATTCATCAGAATATACCATACACACAATAACACTATGTACTTTACTCGAATGGCACATTAAATAAGAGTCCTGCATTCTCCCAGTTCTGCCTTGCAAAACATTCCGTCTCTGTGGACCCTCGATGTTTTTATCAAATAATTATTATGCTACACACTGTCTGTAGTATAACAATGTGCGTATGATTATTATGCTACGCACATTGGTGTGTGTATATATATACTAATAGCATGCAAAAGTCCCTGACCTTTAGGGCTGGAGGTTCAGGACTCAAGATCTCTAGGGCCCCTCCTGCAGGAGAGCCATTGGACCGGGACCGCTCCCCAGCCACAGCACTGCATGTGCGGCTCCCTGGCCTGGTCCGTCCCGAAGAGGGCGCGCGCGAAATCTCCTCCAGGCTGCCCCGTACTATGTCCATTTTAACACGTCGTGTTGCCCTGCAAACAACAAGCACCCAATGCAGCGACATAATCAACAAGGCTTCAGGCGATTCAGGAGAGTGTTGGCAATTTGTTTGGTGATTGTGCTACTGCATAAGAGGCGTACATATTATCAGAAGAGTTTATATGTTTATTTTATGTGTTTTATATCTGGTCAGGTGGCTCAGCAGTAAGTTCCAATCCTGGTTTGGTGTTAACTCAGCTCAGCATCCATCTGGAGTCAATAAAATGGGTACCACTTGGATCATCCTTTGAAGACTAACCTAGCAATATGGATTTTCCACAACTGACTCAGAGCTGTAAAGAGCAGGTGAGCTCCACCTTTATCTGCATTTGATCAGAAAATGTTAACTATAAAATCTGCCCTGTATTATTAATTTGCCAAAAGTCACGTGTATGGAGCTAGCCCCCACCTTCTTCCAACAAAAATAAATCAAATATACTGGTAATAAAATTAAGGTTACTTAGCATTTTTTTTTACTTTTATAGGCCATATTGTAAGATGGATGGTGGCATCGCATAACCATAAAGGATAAAGATGGTGTGGGGAGACCGTAATTCAGATGGGGTATAGAAAAGATTGACGATGCTAAAGTATATGGTCAAAATTAAATTGTAGTTGGTCAAGATCATATTTAAGCTCATAATGCCATTACCAAAATAATCAGAATACAAATGTTTCATAAAAAATCTGCATGTTTGAACAGCAATATGGCTTTGCAAATAAGTGTCATATAGATATAATAAATTCCGCTGTCAAGTGCATATTGCATCTGCCCGGATTTCTTTGCACGTCCATGTCGAGTTCCAGTGATAAATGCATGCAAAACGATCAGTAGCTATATTAACTGTATTTACCAATTCTGATATGGGGATTTTGGAAATCTATGCTGCTTCCATCTCTGCATGTGCTACTCAATTGAGGATAAGTTATGTTATTGAAATGTTAAGGAAATACTGTATGTCAAAAAACAAATAAGAATGTATTGGCATAAAGTGGCTTTCAATGTTATCAAATTGTCTATAGTGTATTTTTTCTTATTATTATAACAATTTAAACAGGATGAGAACCTGTACAGTATTTTTTTTAAATACATACACGGCATGCTATACAGTTTACAAACAATTAAGTTCCCAGGTCTCGTGTGCAAGTGTCATCGCATGAATGGGTTTATGGGACAACACTGTAATATATATTTTTTATCCCAGAAGAGGTGGCTGGATGGCTCCAGAGGTCAGAGCACAGAAATGGCACAGCTGAGAACCTGGGTACATATCCATAAATCCGTATGTAATTAAATCAGGTTCTCAAGTGTAGTGAGTTGTTAATCTCAGCCCTGTCACTAATTACTTTATTGCACGAAAAAAACTACATATTAAATTTGATTCTGCATTTCATTTTCCTAAATTCCAGTTTTGAAAATTTAAATATTGGTTTGACTGCCATGCGACAAAAGATGATCTCAGTGGCAGAGTAGGTGGAAAGTGCTGTCCCCTAATGTGTACAATAGAGGTCACGGAGGAATCTTAGAGGGAACTCTGTAATATTCGCTTTTATGGGACATTTCTCGAACATTAGAGAATGCACTAGTCTAATTCTAGATTTGAAGTTTTCGTGACTGCAAGGATCCATACTCTTTGGTTCTTTCGGTAAAGTCACGTAGGTAAAAAAATGAAAACAACTAAGTTAAATCACGACGTTTCGGGCACAACACAAGCGTCCGTCATCAGGTGGGGACAACCACAGTGAAAAAGAAATCGCTGAAGTATGGCAAAGAGATTACTTTGACAAGGGATTATATAGCTGACGAGGGGGGGGGGAGTCTGCGAAATATCAAAATGAATTATTCTTCTGTCTCATAGCAGGACACTAATTAGCATACAAACATTTAGTAAAAATATAATTTTTAATGCAAAAATTCCGAGCGAAATATCAGTTGGATCTTAAAAATGTTGCAGTTTCTTGTTGAAATGTCAGGCCCATTCCTCTCAAATAATGGTTTCATGTAAGAAGAACGTGACCAATAGAATAACACACCTTAAGTTATATTTTCCCCTTACATTGTACTAGCGTACTTTAAATTCAAACCGGTTCCACTTCAGGTTTTGTATGCAACCGACCACTTAAGTTTTTGGATAAAAAAGGATACAATTAAGAGAACAACACTCAAACTACAAATAAAGTACAATATGTAATTGACTGTGCAGGGTAAGATACGACTGCATATGTGAAAAAGAGAAGACCGTCACTTTAAAGTGTGAAGAAACACTTCAACATATCCTGCACGAAGGGTGCATGCAGGAAACACTATCAGTTTAAAACGTAGGCTTTCGCAACCCTCCACTATATACACAAATACAGAATAATGTATCATACTTATACCTGGCTCTAAATAGACAAGTCGTATTTAGATGTAAAATAAAAGTTCAAGTGTAGCCCTCTCTGCTGGCGGAGGGCGTTCACTACTACGACTACACTATTCTATACTGATGAGACATGCCTGAGGTGGTGGGAGTACCCACACTTTACCGCACTACATACGGCACTGCTGACCGAATAACTGCACACCTGTCAACCCCTTATCAGTGCCAACCTTATTACAGACCAATGCAGACTTTATTGGTCACCCCTTGTCCTTATAAATCTCCACGTTTGTCCTACAAAGTCCCATCACAAAGGAAGAAACACAAAGACATTTTTTTGTGCCCGTATTAACAAACGGCTGTACGCCGCATGGACCTGAAAACTCAAATTTCCCTGTACAAGAATACGGGGTAAACCGTACACTGCGGTGTACCCATTTATGTTACTTGGCCATTGTGTCAACGCCTGCGCAGGGAGATTAAATAGAACCAATCCATAACCTCTGGATATAATTACACCACGACACCTCGTTAAGGTGTCTAGAAAGCAGGGCTCGGTCAACCCGCATGCGGCTCTTTGCGGACTGCTTCCGTGACGTTTTTTTCGGGGGTAATAAAGAACCGTATCTAATCCGCACGCATTGCGCCTCTTGAAATATTTGTTGTTATTTTGCTTGCCGACCCCCCTGGTGCGAGGGGATTGTTACACAACATTTCGGTACATTTGAGCGCTCTTCAGATAACCGAATACCGCACCGCTGTATGCTGTGTCGTGTGCACTCACGAACAAATTGCTGTTGACAGACTCACTCTTAAAAACGACGCGACTGCGGAATAGTTCCCTGCGGTTGCGATGTACAACTTTAAACATGACGTGCCACAGATATACAAACGCTTAGGTTTACAACGGCGCAACAGTCAATGTAGCCCGCAGTTATCTGTAAAATATCACTGACAATTAACGAGTTGCATCGCGCTCAACTTGAAACATTTACCCCCAAAAAATAACGTAAATCGACTTAACAGTGTTAACAATTGTTAAACATACATAAACCCCGACGTTGTATTCATCATTACCGGAACAGGCCTTGGCTCGCCTGACTGGACCACGCCGTTACTAGGCAACCGTTTAAAGCACTGGGACCACGTGACACCGTTTAGTTTCTTAGGGTTCCCTCTTGCCAGCCCCATTCAATCGCGTTCATTCAATCCCATTGAATGTGCTTTTTTTATTTAGACAATTGAGATGCGTTGTCTCTCCTGCACGGGAGATATGAACAATGGGTGTTTAGATGACACTAAACACTGCGCATTAATAGAGGATTGTTATTATTATGAGTTTAAATTAATCATCTGTTTTTTCAGGACAGTTCATGGGGCTGATGAAAACACATTGGGACAATGTCACTGTTCATGAGAAAAGCACGGGAAATGAAGGGATGTCATACCTCTCAACCCCTTATCAGTGCCTACCTTATTACAGACCAATTCAGACCTTACTGGTCATCCCCGTGTCCTTATAAATCTCAACGTTCACCCTACAAAGTCCCATCACAAGGGAGAAACAATCAAATAGACAAAACAATGGACCTGACAACTCTATTTCATTGTACAAGAATACGGGGTAAACCGTATGAGTTGACATGTATGGGATGTGTTTGGAAGAAAAAAAAACAATGCAACTTTAATTGGGTACAAAAAAAAACAATGGGTGCTATGAATACATAATTCTGCATTAATATGATTATATTAGATTAATGGAAATGTATATGAAATGTAGCGATGGTACATTTTTAATTTGAGCATTCGGACCGCCAGTAAGTTATAATGTTCATGTTGTTATTACAGAGGTCCCGTTATCTCAAACTCCAACTGCATATAGGAGATTTAAAGTGCTCACTGGCCTGGATGCTTCATTTTATAGTTCGGCGATATATGGCATGAACGCGTTATTTAATTACGTTTAAGACGTTTCCCTGTAAAATGATAAGGCAATGTTAATATTTAACTTATGCCTTCTTAAGTGAACATTAATTCGGGAATTGGCAATGCTGTGCATTTTGATTATATTCAGATTTTGAAATTGAACATTAATGCCTTATAATATACGTTCCATTACAGTACTGCAGTATCTGAATTATTGTAAAAATATCACACCAATATTATACCCACAGTAAACACATACTGTCTTCTGTATGTTTATAGGCTTCAATGTGTGTAACTGTGAACCGTGTGACTCTTCAACATCTATCAGTATCAACAAAACCCCGAAAGGTAAAAATAAAGCATCTCCATTTGTGTTACTTACACACAATACCCATGCGAGTTTCTGCTCCATACATTATATGACTGCACCAACATAAGCTTCAGCCTTTTTTTTTTACAAAAGATACCTATTTTGAGAATTTAAACCACTCGGGGAACATGCAGCAGCGACGTGGTGATATTTATACCTCTCGCAAATAAAAATAATATAAACAAATATTCTCACTGACGCACTGCGGTTGCATTACGCATTGTTCACATCCCTGCTCAGTACATTCGAGATGGGGTTGCCATGGCAGTGGGTGTTCAGGGAAGGGGAACAGCCAAGAGCATTTTGGCCCTCTCCTGAATCAGCGTTTTCAGGATATAATACATCCCACAGCCTCCTATGCAGACCCTAAATCTCATCACTATTACTGCTAATAATACAACACATGTTCAACTTTCATGGTGCATAATAAAGGACCCATTAATCTGTTGTCCACGATTCCAATTATCCATGAGAGTCGTTGGGTCCGCAAAAACTGATTATCAGTGGCCCTATTCTTCCAAAAATCCGATTTAAATCGGATTTTTTAATTATCTGATATATTATCTGAGATTTTTAATTATCTGAATCTATCCAAGGTTTTTTTTTCCCGCAGATAAAGGGTAAAATCGCAGATAACCTCACGGATATTATTATCGATGGCATTGGTCCACCACATTGCCACAGTTAATATAAGTTCTCTATTTTGCATGAATATGATACATTTTGAGTATTTATTCTTGTTAATTGTTTAATTGTTTTACAGGCTAAATATTGCAAACCGCACAAATAGCTGAAATAACAAGATCAGACAGCATTTTGTTTATAGAAATTGGATAATTTGTCGACAACTCATTCGTGTACAATTTACATTGTGGATGAAAGTTACACAGTACTAATTTGCCAGTGTTAAAAAAACATAAAATATGACAATAGCTGGGATTGTTTACAAAAAATATGTATGCACAACAGTTCAGTATCTGAGATATCTCCCTTAAATGTGCGATGACAGTAGATGTACTCTGTTAATCATCAAGTTCTATTCACTGCTGAATGAAGACCCCCCTCATTGCGATGGCACAATGTCTCATTCTTATGCATGTGCTGGTGTCATTGCTCCATCTCCGTGGTGGTCATCCTCTCAGACATGCTCCCTGTTTGGCTACCATCCATTCACCATTCTCATCCGTGTTCTAGCATCCCTTCTTGTGATGTGTCCTACCCAAGCCAACTTTATTACTTCAAAATTATGTCTCTCATTTGTATTTGGTCCCTGATTCATGTGTTCCTATTCTGTCTCTCAGTGCAATTCCCACCATGCATTTCTCTATACTTGTGTAATTTTAAACTTTATTCCATTTGCTTTGTTATTGTCTATGTTTCCAATCCATATGTCATATCAGGTGATGTATTGATTTAAAACTATCCTCAATAGGCACATTGGTATTGCTTCATATTGTCAAATGTCGTTTTGCAAAAGCGCTACATCATCCCGCTTTTTCCTTCCCTATGTTATGAATAATTTTGATCCTGGTCCGACTTTGATCATTTCACTAGATATATACACACTTCTGTTTGGTTCCAGTTGTGTTCCTACAATTAGTATTCTTTTGTTCAATGAACCTGTGCGTAACTTTAGTTTTTTGTTATATATACATTTATCTTTAGACCCCCTTTTTCAGCCGTCTTTGAAAGTTCTTCAATCCTTTGTTGTGGTATTTACTGCTGGTTGTAAAAATGAGTATGTCATCAGCGGTGGTTTACACTTTCACTCTTTATCATTACAATTGAATTCACAGATAACAATACAACATTAAAGTAGAAACTTTATTGTGATAATGAATTCGCCCATTTGAAGAAAAAACTGTCGCTATTTCCCAGTAAGGATTACAATTTTAAATCATAGTTTTAGTTCACATATCAAAGCACCAACTACCATTCACTATGTCGTAATGTGTTAATGTGACTGAAATGAACATTACTTACATATTAATCTATGTATGACTTTGCCATTCGTCCATGATTCACTTTGCAAAATGATACATCGTTTCGTGGATAATTATTTTAAATAACTCATCGCTTTTATGGGTTGTGATTTCACAATATTTGATGCGTGGAGTTTTACTGCAACGATTGTGGATATGACAAGACATAACGAAGTACAAAATGTCTATAAATGCCTTGTATTCAATCTTGGATAGCAAATGATACAACTACATGTTGGCACTTTACTATATGAATGGAATCTCTACTAGATTATGTATTTATATTAAGTTTTAGATTTCTTATAACATGTTGTGTTTTACAGACATTTCCAAATATTGATCCATTCAAATGTGTGCCACTTAATATTAACACATTTCACAGCTTATTCAGTTATGTATTTTTAGTAAAGAGCCACACAAAAAGGTCCACGTAAGATGTAAGTTGACAAATAGACGTTCACGATTGACTTAGCAAACATGGTACATTTGTATGAACAAATGATGGACAGTTCTTCTTGTAAACAAATAGCTGGACGTGTACATAGCTGTCTGTTACAGGTCGAGATCCGTAAGATCACTGACTTTGTTGTTCCTGTTTATTTTCCTTTCACATTTCTGCCTGTAGTCCTTATTCTCCGACTGAATGAGCTCCTCAGGCGTGTTGCCCAGAGGTGGCAGAAGCCGTTTTTTGCTGCCCCTATTCTCCGCCAGCCACTGCGGGGGCAATTCAAATGGCCCGAAACCAAACTGCGCCTTCAGAGAGGAAGTCTCTACATTTGTTGTGCCGGGTAATGGGTCCTTCGACTCGTGGTCGTACAAAACCGGTGAAGCCTCCAAATCCGACATGAGCATCTGCTGGTTTGCGCCTTCCGCCTTGCCATTTCCACCAGTGTGGTTTCCAACGAGAAGACCGGCGTCTCTGTCGTCTTCCTCGCTGCGCTTGAAAATTTCCTGCTGCCCGATCTGAAACATCTCCAGCAGCTGACTACCCGAGCGCAGGGCACACGGCTCCTGGGCAGCCTCGCCCAACGGCACCGTGTCAGCCCCCACGGTGTTGCGACGGCTGTAGCGCCGCTGCAGTTGCGCCAGCGAGACGAGGATTCCCTTCCGGATGGGCTTGTTGGCGCCAAGGTAGAGCAGGGGGTTCACCAAGAGGGGCAACTTGGGGAACCAAATGGCCGTGAGCAGCAATGCCTCTGGGAGGTCCTGGCTGTCCACCACTGTCCGGTACACCTCCAGGATAAAGTATGGCAGCATGCACACTAAGAACACGGCAATCATGAGCAGCAGCATCGTCTGCAGCTCTGCCTCTCTCTGCGACAGGTAGGGGATCGAGATCGTGTTTTGTGGAGTCCGGAGGGCTGCGATGATGACCTTCTTCTTCTGGCTAGCACTGAGCGCACGGCGGATCATAATCACGCACGTGAATGTGACCACGATAGGCAGCAGCACCGTGGTGGCGTGGTAGATGATGGTGTAGATCAACTGGGCTGGGGACGGCCTCTGTGAACTCTGCTGGCACGAGGTGGCACTGAACAGGTCGATGGTGTAGCTCATTCCAAACACAGGAAAGCTCGCGACCATCGCGTGTAGCCACACATAGACAACCAAGTCCCGGGCTTTGTTCTCCGATATCTTCCTTTCCAGAGGGTACAGGACAGAGTAGTACCTGCAAGATATATATTACAAAAAAATGGTGTAAACACATGCTATCGATTAGCAGATTTCAATATAAGCACTTGGTAATTTGTGGAGTCAATTGTCATGCAATATATATACCTCTTATAAATCTCTAAACAATCAAAACACTAAAACCTAAGTACCGACGCTGATAAATAATATGTCATTAAAGATACAGAAACTAAGTACTCCCCTACAGCGTATGAACTATACATACTCTCATCTGATATAACACATGCTCAATTCAATAAAAATACATTTGCATGTATTCATGTAAGAAAGTGCCTGATATGACTACACGTGCATTTAAATATGAACAACTCACTTGCATGAAGGCTCCATATTTATTTCAGCATGCCAATCATCATAACATTACGACTAATAAAAAAATATATTTTGCATTCCAAATCCAAAACAAAACACTAATAAACCTTAGACAAAAACAAGCAGCCAAACAAATATGCCAAAGGTTGGCCCTTTGACCTGTTCCATGAAATCAGACCCTATGAATTCCCAAGATTTACGAATGCTCTTTAATTAAGGCGATGAACAGAATAAATGACGTTGAATTCACATTACCATTATTGACCCCATAGAGGAGTAAACATTTTTTACAAAATCACTAAGCCCTGCACAAATCTGCAGCGACGGCCTAGCCCTCTGGGCTTACAGGCATCTGCCTGTGATTGGGAAGTTGTGGAGAGGCACCTGTCGATCGCGATAAGTCCGAAGGAGAGTACAAGGGCAGAGCAGAAGAGGCGGTGCGCAAACTTCAGTCCTCGGCAGAGGGCGGGCAGATTGGCTAGCCAGGGGCAGCATTGTGGGTGGCAGCTGAGGAGTAGATCAGGGGGCATGCATGCCAGACCGGCACCAAGTCCGGCACCCGCCAGGTTCTGCAGGAAGCGGCTCGTCACCGACTTAAACATGGCTGTCCGTCGTGTCGACCACAGCACCAGCAGGTTACCTGTGGAAAGAAGATTCAGAGTAGCAAACGCTTGAATCATAAAATAGCAACCATTGCTGAGTCAAATCAACTAGCAGTTAGAATGCTGCCTGCTTGTGATACAATGTAGATGTTGCCCTGGTGTAATGGTTAGCAGACCGAGCTTGCAATCCAGCAGTGGCCAGTTAAATCTCTCAGGGCGGTTGTTAAAACAATTAGGCATTTTTCATAAATCACCCACCTCTGTCCACCCAGCAGTATAAATGAGTACACCACATAAGTAAATCGGCAGGTCATGGGAAGTGGGGCTAGACTATGGTTACTCTTACCTCTTCCAAGAAATCTGGCCAGCATAGAAAATTTGACCAAATACCTTTGTAGAGGGGCTTCCTAGAGACCCCTCCTGTGGAAGCTCTTCTGTCAGCAATGGTGTACGCAAATGCCAGAAAATACTGCATGTGCCATTACTTATTATCCTTAATAATAAAGGTTTTTGGGTTAGATCACATTATTTTAAAATGTGTCGTAACCCTCCACCACCCGACACGGCCAATCAGCAAATAAGTGTCACGTTGACAAAAGACAATTAGTTCAACTACTTTAGCCCACCGGTGTGTTGAAGAGTGAATCCACAACATTTACAGTTTGAGTACGACGTTTCGCTGGTAATTACATCCAGCAGCATCGGGCAATTCGCCAGAATGGTAAAGCCCTCACTTGCTCCCGGTCTTATATAGAGCAGCAGGGTGACGTCATCATTTAACTAATTCATGATGCTGGCTCCAGAAAAAGTGGATTGTTATGCAGTAAAGTATTTACAAGTACTGTATATATAATGCCCAGGTAAAATATTTTGAGAAAATGGTACTAGTTGTTAATATAGCAACGTTTCGAATAGTGTTGAATGTGTATCTATATATTTCGATTTAAAGCTTTCGTGACTGCAAGGATTAATCTTCTTTGTTCTTTCGGTAAAGTCACGTAGAATGAGAATAAAATAATAAATTGATAAAATAAAATAACACAATAAAATTATCACGACGTTTCGGCCACAACACAAGCGGCCTTCATCAGGTGAAGGGACGAGACTGTCTGGAGGACAGCGCTGGAGCGGATTTACTTACTTACTTACAGCGCTGTCCTCCAGACAGTCTCGTCCCTTCACCTGATGAAGGCCGCTTGTGTTGTGGCCGAAGCGCCGTGAGAATATTATTGTGTTATTTTATTTTATCAATTTATCATTTTATTCTCATTCTACGTGACTTTACTGAAAGAACCAAAGAAGATGCATCTATATACTTAGACCATTACACCTGAAAGCCCACTCGTGTCGTTGGACAGAAATGAGCCTTTCGTTAAGAGTAGGCACATGAAGTGGCAAAAAAGTGAAGTTCTTCAGTGGAGATGACAGTCAAAAATATATATCAAACGTCGACTGTAAAGTGCTCCAATGCAGCTAGCATGGACATTCTTCAAATAAATGTAGGTTATTAGGTTTTTACCAATCCTCCCCTCCAAAACAAATAGTTAAAGACTAAAATTTTGATTTAAAGCTTTCGTGACTGCAGTAATTCATATTCTTAGTTCTTTCGGTAAAGTCACGTTGAAGGGAAACAACAAAATAATAATATATATAATATATATAGAACTAAGAATATAGTTAAAGCCTTCTCAAGACCACTGCGGAGCAGTGTTAGAATAACAATTATTTGCATTGCACGTTATAAAAATCGGAACGAATATTCCACACCAAGATGTTTTTTCCTTATTAAAACACAGTGTGTTCACCACCTATTCCTCCACGCATGCATTTTTCAACAGTACATCTGCTGTTTTGTCAGGGTGCGAATCTAGCTTCTTGTGCTCCAAACCTAATGTAGTGCTGTGTGCATACATCGATCAATTATGCATCACATTCATAAGCTGAATTGCTCATCATGTGCCCTGGTCCTTATGTCAGCGGTAGTGCCGAGTGCTTCTAATTTATTGTTCATGATCTGCTGCTGGGTCTGCATTTCAATCAATGGTACCACGCATTCAGTGTTTTTTTTTTCCATCCGCTGTGGTATCTGGCAGAAGATAGCGTTGGCGAGATGTTATGGCATCAACAGCTTTGGCCATGATGGCATTGTCATCGCTCTTGTTCATCACGTGTCTCTGCTCCATAGGTTACTTGATGGTGCCACGTGTTCAATGGTTATTCACAAAAGCTGCATCGGTGAATTAAAAAAAAATCTTAATTTTAATAGTATGATATTTCAAAACGTATGTATTTAGCATGTTTTGACTGTGCCACTTAATATTTTATAATAGATTTTGGTCTTGAATATCCATATTTTGCACGTGTGAAACCTCTTTTAATCCGAAGTGTAAATGTATGCTGTTATGAGACCGTATAATTTAATTGTGTTTTACTTTACATTTTGTTTCAAATGCACTTCAGCATGCATTTAAAATTAAATCCTTTCTAGGAGCAAAATGTAAATATTGCTCAAACAATGTACACTTTTTTTTTCTCTCAAAATCAGTCGACACCAAAATCTGTCTGCTGATGTCTGCTGCTGACCAGTGCTAAATGACGTTGCCCAAATTCGTCTGCTGCTGTCCAGTGCTGTCTCTGATGTTCATTGCTGCCCAATGCTTTCCACGATTGCCCACTATTTCTAGTTGCTGCCTGAAGTTTACCAACGCCGTCTGTTTCCTGCTGCTGCCCACTGCGTCCTGCTGTTCTTGTTGGCGGCTGTGGCACTTATAATGCATAAACCCTGGCATGAGACGGTGCCACGGTGATGCACACTGGCCATGATGAGGCCTTGAGTAGCGCATGTGATGTATTCAAAATATTGCATACACCATCGTGAAAATCCTAATCATACAAGACATTGTAATTGATCTCGGGTATAAGCTTCAGTTGCATTGGTTAATTTGTTTTGAACACTTTACAAGTATTATTAAAAGCATTGCTGCATAATCTCTGTTGGTCAATAATGGGGCAGGCGTGATGACTCTTGTCAGGGTAATCCAATGTAACCAAAGATGCAGCATATATGTTGCTTATAGGGACTCGACCAAATTGTCAAGTTGGCTAAGTTCAAATTGCATAAGTACATCAATTTCCAAGCTTGGGCAAGGCAATACAATAACTGCAAAGACCACCTCAAGACAACATAGCCCGTAAAATAAAATTGCACGTAAAAATTTGACATGGATGTGTCGGTACAAAGTAATGTCTGTTTTTGAAGATCAAACTAATTAAGAGTATTGCAGTATGTATATATTGACCTTCTCTCGTATCCGTACATAGCCAACCGTGTAAATAGGACGTGCATGAAATTGTCTTAAACTCGGAAATCTATTTTCGGCAAATATTGCATTTAAAAAGGTATTGCTTGGGTTGACAGGAAATTTTTAATTTGTCAAAATGCAGCTTGCCTTGAGCACCTTGCGATGACTCTATTGCTACGATTCAGTCACCTGTCAAAGGTGTGTAATGAAGCCACCTGTAACAGCATCTAATAAAGTCAGCACAACGTGATCAACAGAGCAGTTGACAGAATTGTGTTGGGGTGGGGGGGGGGGTGCTTTTCACCCTGCCAGCATTGCACGTTTCACAACAGCTTTCAGAGTTCACTTTCTGCTGAATAGGATGGACATTTCAATTTATAAAGAAGCCAACTGGAGAACGACACATTATAGGTGTGTCTGATGAGAAGTAGGCGAGTGACTCGGGGTTCACATCAGTGCGCTGGCACTGCTAAAGTCCTTGGTTAAAATCCGGGCAGCCACCACAGATTAGCCAGGCAGTCACCAGAGTTCTCAAGTGTAGTGAGTTGATGGTCTAAGCCCGGCCACCAAAGACTACAAGTAAAAACACAAACGCACCACATTAAATATTGCTCTTTATCTTAACTTGGGTGCATTACATATTTCACATGAAAATAAATATATCACTTTCACTGCCTTTCTTTGTAGTATGGCATGTGGTAAGGTGCTTCCGATTAGTGTGTGATATTACACAGGGTGACGCGTGGCTCTGGGAGAGTTCTGAATATGATACTTCGTCTCACGAATTGATGCCAGTCGCGTGATTTGAATAAAATGCGGGGAAAACACAAAAATATTACGATAAGACTCAATTTGACTCCAGTGCTCCAGCCTAGTTGACAATAATATTCTGTCGAATAGCAATATGGTGCTTATTACATTAGGCTGCATCCACACCTTGCAATTTATGTTGAAGCAACTCCCCTTAAAACCACCTTCAGTAATTTGGCTCACAATTGCTTTCTACATTTACTGAAGGCATGTAATAGGCTGTTTAAATCTGAAAGGAGTAACATTCATGCCTCTAGCTTGTGCTTGGAAATATAGTAAATGTATCTTGCAACCTTACGTGTTTCACAGTTGAAGCTCTTCCCCTTGAACTCTTCACTTAACAATCTTATCTATTCCAAGTAGAGATAATTAAACGGGAGTATCTGCAGCTAGCTATTCCCTAGGAATGTGTTTATTTAATTTCTATATTGATCCTGGCACTGTATTGATTAAAAAAAATCACAAATCTAGTTATTTTACGATAACATACGTCCATCTCAATGCAACTAAAATGAAGTAAGCAGAGATGTGATATTTTAAAGAAATGTAATTCTATTTTGATTTAAAGCTTTCGTGACTGCAGTAATTCATATTCTTAGTTTTTTCGGTAAAGTCACGTTGAAGAGAAACAACAAAATAACAAAATATATATAAAACAATAAAAAATTCTCACGACGTTTCGACCATAACTCAAACGGTCATCATCAGGTGTGTCGGTTTGCATAAATTTATTTTGAAAACGGCATATTTATTTATATATATAAAAATAACGTTTGCGTCACGCGCAACGATGGCAGTTTGCCAGGACTAGTCCATCTATTTTTTGAAAAGAGGAGGGGGGAGACGAAATTTGTTTTTATGTAAGCTGTCTGAAAGGCACTGTAAGCGTGAACAATCAATCAAGAACTGAAATGATTTATCAAATC